CCGATTCCTCCAGCTCTGTTTTTCTTTCGCAAGATTTCTTTGGCTATTTGGGGTCTTTTGTGTTTCCATACAAATTGTGACATTTTTGTTCTAGTTCTGTGAAAAATGCTATTGGTAGTTTGATAGGGATTGCATTGAATCTGTAGATTGCTTTGGGTAGTAGAGTCATTTTCACATGTTGATTTTTCCAATCCAAGAACATGGTATATCTCTCCATCTGTTTTTTATCATATTTAATTTCTTTCATCAGTGTCTTATAGTTTTCTGCATATAGGTCTTTTGTCTCCTTAGGTAGGTTTATTCCTAGATATTTTATTCTTTTTGTTGCAGTGGTAAGTGGGAGTGTTCCCCTAATTTCTCCTTCAGATTTTTCATCATTAGTATATAGGAATACAAGAGATTTCTGTGCATTAATTTTATATCCTGCTACTTTACCAAATTCATTGATTAGCTCTAATAGTTTTCTGGTAGCATCTTTAGGATTCTCTATGTATAGTATCATGTCATCTGCAAACAGTGACAGCTTTATTTCTTCTTTTCCAATTTGGATTCCTTTTATTTCTTTTTCTTCTCTGATTTCTGTGGCTAAAACTTCCAAAACTATGTTGAATAATAGTGGTGAGAGTGGACAACCTTGTCTTGTTCCTGATCTTAAAGGAGATGGTTTCAGATTTTCACCATTGAGAATGATGTTGGCTTTGAGTTTGTCATATATGGCCTTTATTATGTTGAGGTAAGTTCCCTCCATGCCTCCTTTCTGGAGGGTTTTTATCATAAATGGATGTTGACTTTTGTCAAAAGATTTTCCTGCATCTATTGAGATGATCATATGATTTTTCTCCTTCAATTTGTTAATATGGTGTATCACGTTGATTGATTTGCGTGTAGTGAAGAATCCTTGCATTCCTGGGAAAAACCCCACTTGATCATGGTGTATGATCCTTTTAATGTGCTGTTGGATTCTATTTGCTAATATTCTGTTGAGGATTTTTGCATCTATGTTCATCAGTGATATTGGCCTATAGTTTTCTTTGCGACATCTTTGTCTGGTTTTGGTATCAGGGTGATGGTGGCCTCGTAGAATGAGTTTGGGAGTGTTCCTCCCTCTGCTATATTTTGGAAGAGTTTGAGAAGGATAGATGTTAGCTCTTCTCTAAATGTTTGATAGAATTTGCCTGTGAAGCCATCTGGTCCTGGGCTTTTGTTTGTTGGAAGATTTTTAATCACAGTCTCAATTTCAGTGCTTGTAATTGGTGATTGGTCTGTTTATGTTTTCTGTTTCTTCCTGGTTCAGTCTCAGAAGGTTGTGCTTTTCTAAGAACTTGTCCATTTCTTCCAGGTTGTCCATTTTATTGGCATAGAGTTGCTTGTAGTAATCTCTCATGATCCTTTGTATTTCTGCAATGTCAGTTGTTACTTCTCCGTTTTCATTTCTAATTCTGTTGATTGGAGTCTTCTCCCTTTTTTTCTTGATGAGTCTGGCTAATGGTTTATCAATTTTGTTTATCTTCTTAAAGAACCAGCTTTTAGTTTTATTGATCTTTGCTATTGTTTTCTTCATTTCTTTTTCATTTCTTTCTGATCTGATCTTTATGATTTCTTTCCTTCTGCTAACTTTGGGTTCTGTATCTAATTGCTTTAGGTGTAAATTTGTTTATTTGAGATGTTTCTTGTTTCTCGAGGTAGGATTGTATTGCTCTAAACTTCCCTCTTAGAACTTCTTTTGCTGCATCCCATAGGTGTTTTTCTAGGTATTTTTTATTTCTTCAGTGATCTCTTGGTTATTTAGTAGTGTATTGCTTAGCCTCCTTGTGTTTGTATTTTTTACAGATTTTTTTCCTGTAATTGATATCTAGTCTCATAGCATTGTGGTCAGAAAAAATACTTGATACGATCTCAATTTTCTTAAATTTACCAAGGCTTGATTTGTGACCCAAGATATAATCTATCCTGGAGAATGTTCCATGAGCACTTGAGAAGAAAGTGTATTCTGTTGTTTTTGGATGGAATGTCCTATAAATATCAATTAAGTCCATCTTGTTTAATGTATCATTTAAAGCTTGTGTTTCCTTACTCATTTTCATTCTGGATGATCTGTCCATTGGTGAAAGTGGGGTGTTAAAGTCCCACTTTAGTTACTGTCAATCTCCTCTTTTATGGCTGTTAGCATTTGCCTTATATATTGAGGTGCTCCTCTGTTGGGTGCATAAATATTTACAATTGTTATATCTTCTTCGTGGATTGATCCCTTGATTACCATCTTAACAATAATAAATCTTTCAATCTACAAATATGTGATTAGTTTCCATTTATTTGACTTCTTTTATTTCTTTAAAAAATGTTATGTAGTTTGCAGAGAAGACATTTTGCCTTTATTGCCAAGTACATTCCTAAGTATTTCATTATTTTTGGTGCTACTGTAAATGGAATTTTAAAAAATATATTAGGGCTGCCATTAACATAGAGCCACAAACTAAGTGACGTAAACAACAAAAGTTCATTCTCTCACAGCTCTGAACGAGAGATATCCGAAATCAAAGTGTCAGCAGGACCATACTCTCTCTCCTGGCTTCTAACGGCTGACAGAAATCCTTGCCATTCCTTGGTGCTGCTGCATAAATCCAACCTGTCTTCATTGCCACACGACCATCTTTCCTCTGGCTGTGTCTTCACATGTTATTCTCCTCTCCATGTATGTCTGTTTCTATGTCTTTTCTCTTTTTATGATAAGGACACCAGTCATACTATATTAATGGTACACCCTACTCCAGAAGGATCTTATTTGAATTACATCTTAATGAAATTTGCAAAAACCCTATTTCCAGTAACATCACATTCATAGGTACCAGGTGTTGGGACTTCAACATATCTTTTTGGGATACATAATCCAAGCTACAAAACTCTCATTTGGGGGTTGTTTCTTGATGGTGTATACAAACGAAATTGATTTTTGTATATGGATCTTGAATCCTGCAACCTTGCTGAGTTCATTTATTAGTTCTCATATTTTTAGTGGATTCCTTAGGATTTCCTATAAACAAGCTCACATCATCTGTAAATATTACTTCTCCCTTTCTGATCTAGATGCCTTTTATTTCCTGCCTAATTGTCCTGCATGGAACCTCCAGTACAATGTTGAATTCGGGTGATGAGCTTGGGAGCCTAGCAAGGTGAGAGGACATTCCACCTAGCAGTTAAAGCACCGGACACGGGTAAACACATAGAGGAGGAATGAATTTGGCTTATGAAACAGAAAGAGAAAACTTCTTTCACAACGAGATTGTGTAGTTGGTGAAGGACCTTATAGACCAAGAAGTCTTGACTTTAATGAGAAATGAAGTCACTAAATGCTCTTAGGGAAAGGCATGCAGATTTTTCTGACAAATTAGAACAGGACAAACATGGAGGAGTGGGGTCAGTGGATTTGGACACCAGATCATAGACTATTCAGTTATCAAGAATAAATGACAGGGAATTCCCTGGTGGTCCAGTGGTTGGGACTCCACACTCTCACTGCCGTGGACCTGGGTTCAATCCCTGGTCAGGGAACTAGAATCCACAAGCCACACAGGGCAGCCAAAAATTTTTTAAAAAAAGAATAAATGACAAAAAGGAGTCAGAACAATACGTGGTACATAACAAGCATTCAATTAAAACGTCAGCTATTATAAAATAATTCCAGGGACTGGTATGGTGGTATGGTAATAGAGGAAAGGCTGGGAAAATAAATCTTATTGGAAAAGGAAACAGCAAGATCAGATATATCATTTTCACTTCACGAGGAAGATGACTCCTAAATTTTTCTATAAAAGGCTGAGGAAAGAGGATGAGAAGTCTTATGAGGTTAATTAACTTCTACATTTTCCTGCAGGAACATACATTTAACTACTTTGAAAAAAGTGTAGTTTCTTGTATATTCCTAATTTTCTATACATAGCCACTTTTAATTTCATTTCAATGTCTTAAATCAACTCCAACATGGATAAAAACAAATTGTTTCACTGAGTAAATGAGGGAATGTGCAATTGTCCTAGATTTAGAACTGGAGATACATTCAGATCCCAGCTCCATTCTGGGTAATCTTGAGCACATTACTGAATCACTCTGAGGTCGTTTATTATAAAATGGGAGTTTTATATGTAAATTACTAGACAGTTTGCTGTGAGGGTTCAATGACATTAGCACATTCTACACTTGTAGGTATTGAAAAAGTATCTTTTCCCTCCCTTCCCCTTAATAAGACAGGAGTTACAGTCTCTAACCAGATCCAACTGCTCATCATCTTTAGGATGTAAAGCAGGAGTTGAAGAGTGAAATAGGAATGTGAAAAAATTATCACTTGAAAGTAAGAACTAGTTATCTAAAGGATTCAGGTTGGTGATCTCTCAGGGAAGTACATGAGGGATGCTTCTTCCCACCAGATCTACCCACGGAAAAATGGTCTCCACTAGGTGAATTCTTCATCTGCACTTACAGGGGCCATTTAAGGTTTGTCATACATTTCCTATCATCCAGCTGGTTGTGACACTATTTAAGCATGCAAATTTCTGGTTAAGGAAAGCAAGCTACAGCCCCCTGAAGGTCGAATGAATATTAGGCCATTTTTGTAATCATCCCAAATCATTAACACAGTATAATAAGAGAAAAAAAAGCATAATTTCATAAAAGGGCACTTTATGAAATCTCAAGACAACATGACCATGAACAGTTAAAATCTATTTATTCCTAGATTAATGTAGCTAATCAAATGCTTTGGGTCTATTCATTCACCAGCAGTTCACATATAGAAAATATTTAATATTAGCCTAAATGAAATGTATGTGAGAGAAAAATACGAGGAAAGGGAAAATAAATCTAACTTCTACTTTTTATTCACACCATTAGTACAATAAAAATTAATTTCAGAACAAATTCAGGAGTTTATTTGATCATTAAGGAAGCTTTAATGTCCTACCATATAATCTAGGTTAATAGAAAAGACTGAATACAAACTATCTTAAGACATTAATCAAACTTTTAATGTATCAATTTATTGCATATGTCAGTACAGAAAAATAGAAAGTGTATTTTAAAAGAAATTTATTGTAAAAACACAAATGTAAATGTTTGCTTTTGCCATGATTAGCACATAATGTACTATAACATTCAGATTTGAGTTATAAAATTTTATCACTGCTTCAAATAAAATATGGCAAATAACAAAAATATGATTTACATTATGAAATTGGATTAACTTATTTTATCCTGAACGTATTTGAAGAAGTTGAAAACAACTTGAATTTTCAGTATATGGAGTACTGACAGAAATTCTGTTATAAATGATGTTAAACAACACACACTCATCCCTGTTACATATGTATATATGACACTTTTCGTAAAAAAAGTGTCTCTTACACACAGTCCTATTGTTAAACTACATTTTTAAGATACAAAATATAAATGGAGGTATATTTGCACCATCTGGCAAAATGTGTTGACTACTATTAGGATGAATGCATTTATTTTGTCATACAAATGAATATACTATTTCTGATTAGCTGAGATGATGTGTGCATATGGCAATATAAGTCAACAGAAGTGCTTTTTATTTTCTACTCCGATTTTAAAAATATGTCTGTGCTCTGTCATTTCCCAACTTTACCTGAGTGATATGAAAATACATAAATTTAAGGATAATCCAAAAGCATTATGACTAATTCTTTTCACATTTCTTTCTCCATAATTGCTGTCAAACATAATAAGAAAAACAGAGAGGGGAGAGGTCAGTGGAGGTTTTCAGTATATCTCAATCATAGTCTAATTTAAAAAGTGACTTCTGCGACACCCTCTTTTAAGGTTTACCTTATTTATTCCTAACCTCAAGGACAGGACTCAGTCAAAAACTACACTTTGGCTGGGCTTGCATGATAGTTTATATAAAATTGAGTATGGCCTTCATTCTTTAATTCCACCAAACAAGCCCATACCCACCTCAAACCAAATCTTATAAACAAAAGAAATGAGTATGAAAGCATCAGGTGGTATGATTCTCAATAAATATTACGGTATCATTAATCTGGTGACACATTACCAAAGGTAGAATTTGGGTTATTCTCAACCGTCTACAGTCATGAAAAGATAAATTTAAGCTGCCCCATAACAAATTTCAGAACACCATTTTAACAAAACCACCAATTTTACAGTCAAAGTGTTTGCAAAAACATAGGGTAGATGCAGTATCAGGTGCTCCAGTTGCCTTCTCCATTAGAAACACCTTGAGTTCAAATGATCTGTTTTACATGTTATGCTTCCTTTTCACCAACCTCACCAGCTAATTATTTCCTAGATCTACATTTAAGAACGATGTCACATTTCCCTTTCCAGTTGTTTCTATCCTATTAGTATTCTTTTATCTGTTACAAATGATTTTTTCCTGTATTTTGTAATATTTTTTTAGGATCTTTTTTGCCATTTTACCCCAATAATCCCTTTTAAAATAATGGATTTTGATCTCAACGGATTTTTTCTTGCCATATTTAAAATGACTCTAGAGTTTCCAAATTCCAGTAGCTTAATAACTTAAAAACTCATTCAGAAACTCCTACAGCTGCTCTTACATCAATGAGCCAGAAATTAATAAACAAGATGGACACACACCTATTCCCACTAAGAGATGAGTCCAAAATGAAGGTGTGACTCATGAAGAATTCACGTTTTATTAAGACCAATTGCTTTGGCCACAATATTAGACATGCTTTAAAAAAATGATGCCACAGGCTTCATGGACCCCTGATAATAGGAGTTTGTCTTCTACTCTCTTCCCATCTAAGGAACCAGTCTCAAATACAGAAGGAAACTAGGAAGGAAAGATGTGCTACAACCCTAGACACCTTTTCCTTTTGTTGCAGAAAGAAAGGCTCCTCAACCCAAAGAGGAGAATGAAGGTAGGCATGGGACACATGTACTCCACAACTTCTGAAGTCCTGGGTCAAAAAGAAGAGGGGGGGATTGTTAATAAACCTGGAGTACTAAAAAAAAAAAAAAAAAAAAAAGCAGCATAAAACAAAACACTGATGAAGAAAAAGCTTTTTATACTTCATCAGCATAATATTTATAACTAAAGTTGATAAATTCCTCCATAGTGTACTAGACTAAATCATCACATGAAAACATAAGGTACTTTGTAAACTTTAAAGAATGATCCAAGTCTAAGGTATGCCATGTATACTCATGTCTAAATACACTACATTTTGTTGTATTAACGTTCTTGTTAATACATTACTATTTAGGATAGTCATTCTACATAGCTATGATTGACAAGATGAAAAGTAGCCTTTAAGTGTAGTGAATTTATAAATACAAAATACACCTTCCATGATACGCGTTTCCAACTTTTTTTAAAAACGCATGATGTTTTTACAATTTATAGAAAACATTATCCTTTAGAAATCATACTTGCTATAATTTATTTTTTTCTAAATACTGACATAAAGTGAATGATAAGAATGTTATTTGGCAAAAGTATTTCTAGCCCTATCTCTATGGAAAGAGCTTCAATTAAGGTCAAGATTACTGACCCATTATTTCTCTGCCCTAGCTGCTTGCACAAAGCCAATAAATATAGCTAAAATACTCAGAATATCATATGTTAAAGCTGACATAACATACAGAGCTCAATTACATCTAATTTTTGAGGACTGCTTGAAACAACTTAGCTTATATATCTTAAGGTAAATCCTGTAAGGATTAAGGGGCTCTTTTTTTAAATAAGATTTTTCTTACCTTCTATATGTCGAAATACTACTTCCCACTTACAGCCATTTAATTGTTAAATGTGGTCACAGGTTCTGTGATCAAAAGCTCTAGAGTTCCTTTATCCACACATTCTCACATGTAGAAAATAAATAAGACTTCCTAAAGCTGTCTTTTGATGCAGTTCTTCTATTTCATAACTGAAACATCAGACCAAAGAATATAGTTTTCATTTACTTTTGTTTTTGTAACTTTTATTTTCAGAAAGTCCAATAAATGATATCCTGGCTTTAGTGGGACAGATATACCTAGATACTTGGACTTAAAAATGAAATGTGGGAATTCTTGTAAAATAGTATGTACAATAATGTAATGATAAGACTTCCTAATTCTTAAACAGATTCTAATCTTCATTATGACTGCTATTAGTGGTTCGGCTGTAGACTTACAAAATCGACAGAAGCTAAAATTCTCTTTGCCACCAAAATTACAAATGTTAAAAAGTTCAAATATGCACATCAAAGCTGCAGTAAAATTCTCAATTTCTATTTTTACATGCCATGATCCAGACTGTACCTAACAAAACACGGTACGTTTATATTGGAAAATGGGGTCCCATTTATTTGTAAGAAAAAGCTGGATCTCAGCATTCACCAGAGCAAAATTCAATGGCAACCTGCACATAGGCCTCAATTTCATTTCTTGCTAAAAACAAAATAGAGTTTACATAAAAATAGATATAACCCAGGTTACCATATACATTGGTATATGACCAGTATTTACATTAAAAACATTGCATTGCATAAGTCAAGGAATAAAATACCACCATGCATTTCATTTTTACGGTGAAAAATGCAATTACAGAACTAAGTTTGCTTACCATGATTGTCCCAATATTTACTAAAGGAATAATACCCAAAGGTTTCTTGTTTACATGTCTCCTTCCACACTTAGTCATTAATCTAAGTGTCACGTAGATTACACAACTTCAGCAACAAGAAACTTCTGAATATGCTATTATGATAGCATACTAAACTAAAGATATGGATACATAACCATATTGAAAGGTTCGATGAAAATGTATGAAATCCCAATAATTATAGTCCTTCAAATGTAAAAAACTATTTGGATCATTTTAAAGGAGCACTGAAGTCCTTTCAAAGTTTAATGTCACTCTTCAGACAAGTACAGATATAACACACTTCTAGAAAGGAACATTCTTTATCATTCTGCACAAATTAAAATACAGTGCATTAATCAAAAAAAAACATTATATAATTGTTACATTAGATGAAGTTTTTGCCATTTCTTCAGGAGAATGACTCTTTATTACTTCTTTGATGAACTGTTCAAGGGCAGTGAAGTAACCCTGGCATTGCCATGTATCATTATGAGTTCCATCAGGAAAAATGGCTAATCTCTTAGTCCGAGATGGGGAAAGTTCATAAAGTTGCTTCATCATTACTGGTGGGATTAATTGGTCAGAGAGTCCAGAGATGAAAAGAGAAGGCATTCTGCACTGAGAGATTTTTCTGTAGGACAAAAATTTATTTTTGTAGCACCATAAAGGAAGGTAACGCATTGGAAAGAATGAAAATAAAGTGCTGGCCATATGCGGTATGCTTAAAAATGTGTTCTCCACCATAATGGCTGAAATCCTATGTGAATTTTCAGAGGCCAAATGAATAGCTACTGCCCCTCCCAAGGAACGGCCGAAAAGAAAAATTTTTGTTTTGTCAAGGTCAGGTCTGGTCATCACGTAGTCTAGCACAGCCTCAGAATCTAGGTAGAGTCCTTCTTCACTTGCTTCTCCTTCACTTTTTCCATATCCTCGATAATCAACAAGCAAAAGATTAACTTTGAGGTTAACCAACATAAGCAATGCATTCGGTAACCTGTGACCTATGTTGCCTGCATTCCCATGAAAATAAATTATAGTTGGGGAATAGGGCGAATTGTCTCCAGTGTATCTTATCAAAATAAGATTTAGACGCACTCCATCTTTGGTTCTGATGAAAATGTTTTCATGTGGAATACCAGTCGGCATGGGAACATAAAGGCGTGAAGAAGATGGCTGTTCTGGGAAATAAAGCAATACATCCTGGAATTTATAGAGAATACCTGCTATTGATATGAATATTAACAAAAGTAAGATAATGCCTCCATACAGATGGAAAGTCACTATTAAAGGTAAAAGAGAAATACGGCAGAGAGCCCAAGACCATGAAGCCAAAGCTATTAGCCATCTTTCAACAAAGTTCCACAGCATCCAGGACTTTTCCATTGTGGCTCTCCGTAAGCGTCCTGAAGAGAGACAGAGATAGGGAGAATCAGTAATTCAACATATATCTATTATTTTAAAAGTTAGATCCATGATGTAATAAATCATGGTACTAGGTGAATCCTTGGAAACCTACATCAATCCATCCACAAAATCGATTGTTCTAATTTTCTTCATTCCTTCAGTTCTCAAGGTCTCCTTTCTCCCTCCACTGCTGTATATATGAAACACAAATATTCATCAAACTATATTCATTTTCTTAAAAAAAATGCAGGTACTTTCATTCATGTATTCTCCTTGATTTGACAGAAAAATAAGTTGATGCCATGTTCCCAATTTTTTATATGAGGGAACAAACGCTCTGGAGCATAAGTGGATTGGCTGTGTCCCAGCTTTGCAGACAGAAGAGCCTGGAGACCAAGCAGCACACTTCTAATGCTCCTGGTGCACCCACTGGTCAGCTAGGTAAGGTGAGGGCAACTTTTTAATTTGAGGTAAAACTGACATATGCCATATTAATTTCAGGTGTACAACATAATGATTCAATATCTGTATATACTGCAAAATGATCACAATAAATCTAGTTAACATCCATCTCTATACATAGTTACAAAATCTTTTTCTTGTGATGAGAACTTTTAAGATCTACGCTTAGCAACTTTCAAACATGCAATACAGTATTAACTTGTCACCATGCTGTACATAACATCCTCATGACTTATTTTACAACTGTTAAGTTTATACCTTTTGACCCACTTCTTTTATTTTGCTCACTACCCCCAGCTTCTGGCAACAACCAATATGTTCTCTCTATCTATGAGTATGGGGTTGTTTTGTTTGTTTTCAGAATCTACACATAAGTGAGATCATATAGTATTTGTCCTTCTCTGACTTACTTTACTTAGTATAATGCCCTCAAGATCTATCCATGTTGTTATATATGGCAAAATGTCCTCCTTTTTAATGGATGAATAATACTCCATTGTGTGTGTGTACGCACAGACACATCCCACATTTTCTTTATTCATTCATCCATCAATGAACACCTAGGTTGTCTCTGTATCCTGGCTATAGTAAATAATGCTACAGTAAACATGGTGGTGCATATATCTTTTTGAGTTAGTGCTAAATTTCATGACTTTAATCCATTTTGAGTTAATTTTTCTGTATGGTGTAAAACAGTAGTCCAGTTTCATTCTTCCACATGTGGCTACCCAGTTTACCCAATATCATTTATTGAAGAAACTGTCCATTCCTCATTGTATATTCTTGGCTCCTTTGTCATAAATTAACATATTATGTGTGGGTTTATTTCTGGGCTCTCTATCCTGTTCCACTGATCTATGTGTTTGTTTTTATGCCAATACCATACTGTTCTGATTACTATAGCTTTGTAATATAGTTTGAAATCAGGAAGCATGATGTCTCCACCTTTGTTTTCCTTTCTCAAGAATACTTTGACTATTCAGGGTCTTTTGTAGTTCCATACATATTTTAGGATTATTTGTTTTATTTCTGAGATAAATGCCACTGGAATTTTGATAGGGATTGTACTGAATCTGTAGACTGCTTTGGGCAGTATGAACAATATTAATTCTTCCAATCCATGAGTACCAAATACCTTTCCACTTTCTTGTGTATCCTTCAATTTCTTTCATTAATGTCTTATAGTGTTCAGTGTTCAATTCTTTTACCTCCTTGGTTAAATTTATTCCTTGGTATTTTATTCTTTCTTTAAATTGAAATATAGTTGACTTACAATGTTTTGGGTGTACAGCAAAGTGATTCAGTTATATATAGATACATACACACACACACACACATATATATAACTTTTTCAGATTCTTTTCCATTCTTTTCCATAATGTCATTACAAGATATTGAATGTATCTTGGGCTACATAGGCGGTCCTTGTTTATCTAACAGTGTATACCTGTTAATCCCAAATTCCCAATTTATCTCCCCCTCCTTCCCCTTTGGTAACCATAAGTTTGCCTTCTATATCTGTGAGTCTATTTCTGTTTTGTAAATAAACTCATTTGTATAATTTTTTTATATTCCACATATAAGTGACACCATACGGTGTCTTTCTCTGTCTGACTTACTTCAATTAACATGATAATCTCTAGGTCCATTCATGTTGCTACAAATGGCATTATGTCATTCATTTTTGGGGCTGAGTAATATTCCAGTGTGTGTGTGTGTGTGTGTGTGTGTGTGTGTGTGTGTGTGTGCGTGTGTGTATGCCACATCTTCTTTATCCATTCATCTGTTGATGTATATTTAGGCTGCTTCCACGTCTTGGCTACTGTAAATAGTGCTGCTATGAACACTGGGGTGCATCCATCTTTTTGAATTACAGTTTTCGTCTTTTCTGGATATATGCCCAGGAATGAGACTGCTCGATCATAGAGTAATTCTATATTTAGTTTTTAAGGAACCTCCATCCTGTTCTCCATAATGGCTGCACCAATTTACATTCTCATCAACAGTTTAGGAGAGCTTCCTTTTCTCCACAACCTCTTCAGTATTTATTATTTGTAGACTTTTTGATGATGGCCATTTTGATTGATCAGTGTGAGGTGGTATCTCATTGTAGTTTTGATTTGCATTTCTCTAATAATTAGTGATGCTGAGCATCTTTTCATGTGCCACTGGCCACCTGTATGTCTTCTTTGGAGAAATGTCTATTTAGGTCTTCTGCCCATTTTTGGATTGGGTTGAGAGTTTTTGGGGTTTTTTTGATATTGAGCAGTATAAACTGTTTGTATATTTTGGAAATTAAGGCCTTGTTGGTCTCATGGTTTGCAAATATTTTCTCCCAGTCCATAGGCTGTCTTTTCGTTTTGTTTATGATTTACTTTGTTGTGCAAAAGCTTTTAAGTCTAATTAAGTCCCGTTTGTCTATTTTTGCTTTTGTTTCCATTTCTCTAGGAGATGGACCCAAAACAACTTTACTGAGCTAGGTAGGTTGAGGGCAAATTTTATTAAAGAGGTAGTTAACAGATTCTAACCTATCAAGACCAATCCAATAGAATTTATTGTCAATTTTCTTTTTCACATTATAGAAAAAATTATAATTAAACTAAAATATAAAATATGTTCCCTTCTATTTGGAGGTTCTCACAGCTAAATTTAAAAAATAATTTAAATGGAACACTAGTTTCTAATATTGTATTATTTTTAAGAAAAAGTCTAATCATTCGTCTTTCATATCTGATTAAAAAGAAACTTTAGATAGTTAATACTGTGAAATATGCTCAATCTTTTATAGAGCCCTCACTGCAATTTCATACCAGCGGGTCAACAAAGATTGCTACAGTATACTGATAAGGCCATAAACACTTGGGGGATAAGTGTGAAACAAAGACACAGAAATTCTGTTTCAGAACCAGAGATAAATGAAGAAAACGACTTACTGGAGAAAAATCTTTTTAAAGTTTGCTAAAAACTATAACTGATGTAAAGAAAATACAAAAGAAAAGCTTTCAGAAGTCATTGTTTTTATCAAATAAAGTTTATGTGTGTTGTCTTAAAAAGGCACAAGAGGTGAGATGTTACAATTTTGCTTATGTAGTACTCATTTACTTATATATTTACCATTTTAAAAAATTACATTCTTTTACTCACTAACAAAACTACCATAAAGAAGTTATTCTTAAATTTAATAAATAATTGTTAATGACTTATCTTTATAAAATTTTACTGTATGTCATAAGCTAATAAATGTGGCATTTTAGTTCATCAAATTAGATTTAAACACTGAAAACCAAGTTAAATTATACTGGCTACAAAGATGAGTTAGACAATTTAATAGATTCGATTTTTTATTATAATCTCACCAAAAATATTTTACTATTCCGCTAAACATGGACCTTCGAATCTGAATTTGCGTTCAAATAACTCTCTTTGAACATAAACCAACAGTGTAGCATTTTTCTGAAGTTTCTCTAAAATCAACACTGCCACCCAGTTGCAGCAAGTTTTATTACAATAAGCACTATGTTAAGCCAGAGAAAAGCAGGTATGTGAGGTAAAACAAAAATCCAAGCTTAACAACTAGAGAAGCAATACCTGAGCATTAGGTGTCAGACCTGGATAAGAACCAGATTGAAAGAGGCTACACTACAGCAGCCAAATAAGCCAATTACACTGAATACTGAATAACTGTTCCAGGTCAATAATCAATGCTGTTTACAATCTCTGACCACTATTCATCAACAGCTTAAATTATACAGGGCTCCTCTATAATCCTTCACTGTAGTGGATAAGTCTGAACAACACATCTGAGCACTTAAATTTTTCATGTAATGCTTACTTAATTTTATTTCTTTAAGAGAATGATTTTCATTCGTACCCGGAAGTTATATTAGGAAAATTTGAAAACAGACTGGCATTTACTTTATACATCAAAATAAAATAATTTTTGTATAATGATTAGGATTAACAAGGTTTGGGATATAACATACAAATATACTAAGGCACTGTGTCATTTGGAAAATAAGATACCATTTAAGATATTTCTTTAGGGAAAAAAATGTACTTTTTTTCATAGTCAAGCCAATCGTTTATGGCAGAAGTATCAGAGAGATGAGTAACTCAAATATCACTTATTTGGTGATATAGTAGAAAAAAAACACTAAAATTCCATCACCCTTAAAGTCTGCTCTACCATATATTTGTTAAATAATCCTGGGTTTATCAGTTATTTCCAGTTTGAATTTCCTTTTCAGTAGAATGAGAATTCTAAAAATGCCTATTTATAAAGGTGGTCAGCATTATCAAATAAAATTAATAAAAAAGCATTTACAAATGCTACAGATACATTAACTTCATTTGCTTTTGTGACTAGTATTTCTGGCTGTACTACTACATTCTTAACCATGTTCTGCTTGAATTAGCATCAAAATTAGAACTTACCAAGCACCTATAAGAAAAAAATATATAGGAATTTGATAAGGGCATGGCAAAGCACTCCTACAACCTGGATAATCAGGAGTGAATTGACACAAGTTTTCACATC